TTCAATCTTAAGGTCGACATCGTATTTGGTTAAACGACAGTTTTTCTTCATGCACAAGTTAAACAGATAAACCAGTCTAAAGTAAAAAAAAAGAATTAAAATTCAAGTTACCATGTCTTACTATTTACATCAATTTTATTGTCTTAAATAATTTTTGAACTTTCCATGTCTTGCTATTTACATAACCCTTCACTGCTTGAATTAATTTTGTGAAAGCTTTTTGAGGAGAAAAAATATTACAAGGTAGGCTGTGGTCTGTAGTGTAGAGAGCACAAATAATTAAGAAGTTGAATTAAATAATAAAATAATGTTCATTTTGCAAAATAGCATTATGTAGCAATTTTGCTACAGTTTGCAACCCTCAGTAAAATACGTTAAAATTTAAACAAAATTAAAAATCATTTATCAGTGGAAATTTATTGATTAATTATTGATATGAGTTAAACACTTATTTAAGCTAAATCTGGGGCATCAGAAATTCATTTACATTTTTGTGCACTATAATGCTATTACAAGTTATGTTATATTATATATTGTTATATATATATATATATATATATATATATATATATATATATATATATATATATATATATATATATATATATATATATATGTTTTGTATATATATATATATATTGTTATATATTGTTATATGTTATGTTATATATGTAGATCTAGAAAAGCTACTCAGCCATTATACTAACATAGTCTTCATCCATGTTGTGGAAAAAAATCTTAAACAGCCGAAAGGCTTTGCACTAAAAACTAAGTTGGTCAATTCCTATTCCTCACAAATACTAGAGAAACTTTCAATATCTTACTATTAGACTGTAATATTTGCAATTTTGTATCATTGTGAACTTTTAATATCTCTACTAGCAACTTTGTATTATTTGTGAACTTTCAATATCTTATTATTGACATTGATAATAGTAATTGTGTGTGATTTTACACCTTCTGGTTAAAGGGTCATAGCGTAATAATATCATAGGCCCCCGCGATAGATGGAAGATTACAAATACAAAACACTTGTTTTTATCTAGTGTGTTCCGTCTATGAATAAATCGATTGTATGTAAGACATACCACTTTTTAATTTCTCGTATATGCGAAGTATAGAGAAAGTCTTGTAATCGTGCAGAAAAAAATCGATATTTGACGTTTTAGGGCTCCTTGAGTCGGAAAAAAATAGTTTTGCAATCTTGTCCATAAGTCTGTGTGTATGTGTGTCTGTGTGTGTATGTGTGTGTGTGTCTGTAAACACGATAACTTAAGTACCGTTACAGCTAGGTTGATGAAATTTTATATTAAAATATTAAATCAAAATCGTAGATGCGTTTCGACTTTTGAGCGATTTCCGATAACCGGAAGTGGTACTTTTTCTACTTTGAATTTTTCAAAAGCCTATAACTTGAGTACTATTTCAGATAGATAAATGAAATTTCACATGTAAGTAAACGATCTAATTCTCTACCATCATTCAAATTGTGAGTTATTTCCGTTGATTGAAAGTACTAATTTACGCTATTTCCGATTTCTCAAAAAACGAATGTAAATTTATAAAGTACTAATAATATTCCGCACTATTATGCATGTTTTATTTGGCGTTCACGGGTGTGCAATTCTTTTTTCTACGAGATTTTATTCTATTTTTAAAACTTTAAGTATTTTAAATGGATTAAAATTCTTGTCTATATCCCGAGTCCCCATCCCCTGTTTTTTTATAAAAGAATATTCGAGAAAGTTTAGGGGAGATCGTTCCCGGTTTATTTGTTTAAATCGTAAGTAGATTTAAAATGTTATTTTGTTATTTTAAAGAGTAGTATACCAATGCTTGATGGATATGCTTTTTTAGAATGATCTAACTAGCAAAATAATAAAAGTATGTATAGGGAAGAATGTGTGTGAACGAGAGATAGGGGGCATTGAGTGAGAATCCATGGAATTCTTTTTTCAGCTAGGAACAGTTGGTTCGAGAATATCTTTTTGACAGCTAGTGTAATCTATACTAATAGTTTCAATATCCTGTCATTTTGTTAATCTATCTTTCTTTATATTGGTCATACAGGAACAATATACTTAAAAAGCTGGTTCCAAAAGTTTCCAAATCATATTGTTCAACCTAAATGGAATATTTTATAACATTTGTGTAATAAGTACAAAATTACGTCCGGTTTATAAAGGCTAGAAATAGTGAAAGGCTAGAAATAGTTACTAGTAATATAATAGTAATTAAGCAAACAATTTTAATTGTTAATTTGGATTAGTTGAGTCAGGGTGTTGTGGTGATTAGGGATGTTATATTATTTAAGGTAGATACAATACTACGATATACTCCATATATCACTATTGCGTATTTTTATCATAAAAATGTATTGTTCTGACCAGAGGCGTATCCAGGTTTTCGGTTTAATGTGATCGAATTTGTAATATATATATATATATATATATATATATATATATATATATATATATATATATATATATATTTATATATATATATATATATATATATATATATATATATATATATATATATATATATATTTATATATATATATATATATATATATATATATATTAGCTGTATGTTATTGCTTCGCTATGATGTAAAATAAATTGAAAGTAGCACTCTGAAGTAATTAAAAAGAAACACACAATGTAGGCCGACAAAACAAAAAAAATGTATTACTCTAAACAATATATATATATATATATATATATATATATATATATATATATATATAATACAACCAAACACAATGAACAATATATATATATATATATATATATATATATATATATATATATATATATATATAATACAACCAAACACAATGAACGCAGCATAATCTGTTTCGTAATCCTTGTAAAAAAATTACATAATTATTCCTGGGACATTTATTAAGACAAGCGAAAAGGGAAAACAATAAATATCTTAATATAAATATGTATATGTCTAAACGTTTTATTATAAATATCAAAACAAATCAATAATTACCTAAGAATCTAATTAAGTAGCTTAACACTTATTAAAAAATATTTTGTCTACAATCAGAATTAAATCCATTGTCATCATAAATGCTAAAGTATTACAGCATAATGAAATTTAAAAAAAAAATCAGAGTTGGTATAAAAGCCAGCTATTCAATTTAAAAGTACAACATTCGGAATAAAAGCCTACATATAACTTAAATATCGGTCTTACATTTCAGATCATGCACTTTTTGATTAGCTACTGACTTTTTGTGTTCTTTAAAGATATTTTTAACATAATGAGAAGGTATGGATTAGATCACTGTATTGCTCACACACCTTTTACTGGTAATTGCATAAACAATATTCACAGAGATTTACGTTTTAAAAGCTATGATTCTGGCGGCATGGTACTTTGGTACATCATTACGCGTTTTCCCAAATTTACTTAACGTGTGGGTTGGGGGGAGGAGGGGTTAAACTTCATTCACCACTGTCCGGTCACTTTAGATCAATTATCCAACCCAGCGTATATCTAGGTGTGACATTAATGTCGCTCTACACATATGTGGTGGTGAGGTGTGGGTGGATAACCAACTCAGAATAAACATAGCGTCAGTTTTTAGATGACTGTTTTAAACATAGGTAGTCATCCATAAATGACTTCACGATTTTTTGACGATTTTTACATCCACCTCACCTCCGTCACACGTCGTCACAAAAAGCCAGACCCCCACTAAAATGACGTCACACCTCAGCCTGCAACCCCCCTCAATATTGATTTTTTTTTTAACAGCTATATTTTCCAAAATCTTGTCTGAACTATTTCAAAATAGAGTATTTTAATCAATTGTTATTACAATTTATTAAAGCAGTTTTCTAAAACGCAAAATAACGTCTGAAATTCGTTTTCTAACATTGCTTTTTACATTTCGTATATACGTAGTATAGAGAAAGTATTGTAATCGTGCAAAAAAAATCGAGATTTTTACAAATCTCGACGTTTTACACCTCACTGATACGGAAAAACATAATTTTGCAATCTTGTCCGTATGTCTGTGTGTGTGTGTGTCTGTGTGTGTGTCTGTGTGTCTGTGTGTCCGTGTGTAAAAACGATAACTTGAGTACCGTTACAGCTAGGTTAATGAAATTTCATATATAAGTATTATATCAAAATCGTAGATCCGTATCAACTTTTGAGCGATTGCAAAATAGCAACTCTTCTTTGCTATCATCTGAATGAATATAGACTAAAACGAGCAACTGCGAACACGAACTCACGTCTGTTGATTTATCAACTTGAAAAGGAAACAATGGTGAAAGCTTTATTTCAACAAAAATGTGTTATTTAACATCTACGGACATGTCTGCTATAAGCCGCTGAATAGTAATATTAGGCAGAGATATTTTTGAATCTTTACTGCACTGGAATCCCCATTAATTAACTTCACCATCTTCAACATGCAGCGTTTTCTCCTATAATGTTTTTTTTTTGCTTGGCAATTTCTAATGCGATTTCATATATTGCTTGCACTAATGCTGTGTTTCCTTCGTGAAAACTTCCTATTATATCAAGTCTCTGACGTTTGCAACTAGCTTCATGCCAACGAAAGAACTCCATATCTTTTTTGGTGTGTTCCGAACGACTCGTCTTAAATGACGTTTTAGTTTTGAAGATTTCATAAACTCGTGACTGAGAACAACTTTGTACAGAACGCATTGCTTCTTCTCTATTCTCTATTCCATTTCCAGTGATGTTAGTAAAGCCGAATTTCAGATATTCTTCTATTAATGTTTTGTTTCTCATTACTAAGGTTTAGTATACCAGTTGGCGCCTCCCCCCCCCCCCCAGAGAGCCCTTCGTGACCCCCCATTTTGGGAACCCGTGGTTTAAAACTTTGTGTTTAACTTAAAAAGTTTCCAAAAAAACGGCGCCTCTTTGCTAAAAATGGCCCCTGCGTACGCTACTAGTTCTGACTTATATTGTTTTACACTCCATGGAGAGGTCGAGGGCAGGTTTTA